GTATATAAACTCACCAAAAAGTAGTCGTGTTTGGTATCGTTGGAAAGCTCTTCCGATGCTGAATAATGTATTGCAGCTTATATATCAGAAACGATGTAGTGTTTCATGTATTGTCCCATAAAGTCCAATTATGGCATATCATATTAAAATAAACAGGACCCATTTGCGTAACTCGTGAGCTCCCGGATGGCGCTGGGGGGGGGGGGGGCACTCCTACTACTACCTAACACATTACTACCAAGCCTTAAGTAACGCATGTGCTTTCTGGGCGAAGTCCGAGTCCAAATGGGCCCTGGAGAGGGTTAGATACTTTTACTTACAGTAACACTGATACTCAGCACTCTCCAACAACGCCTTAACAATACGTAACATTTTCTATAATTTCCGAAAAAAAACAAATAGACCAAAATCCCACAAACACAATATTTATGGCAGATTTATTAGAAGGGGTTCTTTAAACTATGCCCCTGGATGCCCCATTATGGAGGTTTGACCAGTTATGTAATGCCTGTGTGCTTTCTAGGGAAACGCTTACTTCCTCCATGTCCAAATGAGTCCCTGAAAGGCGATGGGCCCTACATACTACTACCGAGCAATCTAATAATACAACGCGCTTTTGACAAAATATTTTCTTTTAATTTAAAAAAAATGTATGAGCCCCGGACGGCTGCATAACTACCCACCTTAAAGTCCGCCTCCGACTTTAAACATGTCAGTGAATAAAGAATAAAATACATGGTTATCCATCATAGTAGGCCTATTATTAAATATTATACACATGTTGAAATCGATTAAAATAATGTATAAATTAAAGGCCTAGTAATAATTGAGATATTTGGATGATAAACGCCTGCAACATCATCAATTGGACCTTAAAGGACGATCGAGTCATTTTATTCAGATTGGCCTTATCATGTTTCAGAGCAACATATTTTTTGGTATTAAAGTAACACTTTATTAAAAACAATCAATGAATTTTGTTACTCAAACGTCTTTATATTGATATTTTCAAGCCTATTAGATGACCTGAAGAAAAAGTGATCCAGAAGTCGTAGGCTTGCTGTACAATATATTATGGCGAAAGTAAATTTTTGTCCGTCTCTGAATATTAATAGTGTTACTGTAATAGAGCCTATTATTAAATATTGGAATGGTACCTTATAGATTTATAACCAGGTAGCAGAGCAGCTTAGCTCAGTTGCCTAAACTGGTGGTAGACTGTGCGCGCTAAAACGTGGGGATCTCTAGGTCTCCGATTCAAATAAAATCAAACCATTCTTTATTGATCACTCAAAATGGGTTGAATTTTATAAAAGTAAAGGGTTCAAGCAGAAAAATCTAAACAATCAACATTTAAACATTTTCAACAAACAGACCCACATCACAATAACAGCAAAATGAAACAGGTTTAAAGGGCAAAAAGGCAACCAATATTAAATTATTATTATTAATTATTATTATTATTATTATTATTATTATTGTAATTATAATTATTGTAGTAAGATTATTCTATCGTTCCTGTTATAGCTACTCATTTCTAAGGTTTAATTTCAGCACTAGAGATGTTCAGAGTACCCAGAGAGCATCTAAGCCCAAAATTTTTCGGGGCCCTTGGACGGGCCCTCGACTCACGTCAATTGAGTTATTTCCTGTTAAATCTCAAGCCTCTAGCTATCTCCAACTTGGCATGTATTCTTTATTCCAACATTATTGAGTAGTTGGATTCTTTCTTCCATAGATCGATGAACTGATAGGCCTGAAGAATACACTTTCGTACATAATTATTACGACGTCGAGCCAAAACAGTGTTTCTAATGTATTTAATTGAATGCTAGTTGAGCTAAGCCTATATATGTAATAGGCCTACACATACTTTCTAAAACATAAATTAACCTAATTTTCTGATAAACAAATTAAATAACATTAATTAAATGAAATATATTTAATGATATAGGCGTACTTGCTACCAACCGTAACACACAATTTGAAATAAAAGTAGGCGTATGATGACATAATTAATGTTGAAATATTGAATTCCAACACGATGGCGTATATTTCAATACTTGGAGTATGTATTGTACTTTCTTATCTGCGATTAATCAGTGGACCTTTCAGTAGTAGGCGTATCGTAGAAGAGAATCACTAATGGGCATTGACCTCCGAAGTACTGTAGAAGTACAGAAATAATAGAGTGTTTTTTGTGGAT